TTTGTTGAGGACGCATCTCAACAAAGATCTGAAAGTGCTGGATCTTAAGATGATCTACTTACTATGAATGTTTTTTTTGTATGATTGTGTAGAGCAGATGAATGACTGAAACACTTCCCACATGCAGTGCAGTGATACGGTTTCTCTCCAGTGTGAATCCTCTCGTGTGTTTTCAGAGTTGATGAATCACTGAATCTCTTGTCACAGTGTGAACACTTGTAAGGTTTCTCTCCAGTGTGGATCCTCTCGTGTGTTTTCAGATTTCCTGAATGACTGAATCTCTTGTCGCAGTGTGAACACTTGTACGGTTTCTCTCCAGTGTGGATCTTCTCATGCTGTTTTAAACACTGCGCTGAAGCAAAAGTATTTTCACACTCAAAGCACATGTACTCTCTCACAGCAGCATGTATTTTCTGATGTAGTTTCAAATATTGTAAACATGAAAAACTCTTTCCACACAAATGACATGAATGTGGCTTCTCCTTTGTATGAACTCTCAGGTGTTTCTTCAGGACTGAAGCCCTCAAAAATGTTTTGCTGCATTGATCACATGTGTGTGGTTTCTCTCCAGTGTGGATCTTCATGTGTATCTTAAGGTGTGATGATTGTGTGAAACTCTTCCCGCACTGATCACAACTGAATGGTTTCTCTCCAGTATGAACTCTCATGTGAACATCAAGAGTATGTTTGTATGTGAAACTCTTTCCACACTGAGTGCAGGTGAAATATTTCTTGGCTCTTTTTTTATTTAAATCTTTCTGTTCGGGGTTTTCTCCACTTTTGACATGATTTTTCTCCTCAAATTCACTAAATTCTTCTTTCTCCTCATTATCTTCAATCAACTCTGCAACAAAAGTAAAAAAACAGTAAATCTTCATTAACTTGTTAAAAAATGAACCCTGATATAACAGCGGAAAGTACACAATTGTATTACAAACTTTTGATCATTTTGATGTAATTTTCTAAATTATACGTCCCTGAAACTTTCCATGAACGAGGTACACTGCTTTTCAAATTATTAGTTTTCAATCAACACAAACTCAGCACACCTGAAAAAATGATAGGTGCGTAGGAAAATCCAATTTTCCAAAATATAAAACGGCACAATCCCGCACACTATCAGTACTTGATAAATATTGCAATTTATTGTTATAAGCACAAGCAACGTTTCGGTCCACTGACCTTCATCGGGCATAAATTATTACTTTTAAAATATTATAGGCACAAATCTCATGTTTCTAAAGGGAGAGCTATTAAATATGTTTGATCAACAACACGAGGGATCTGAGGATCTGTGTGTTGCTTCAAGAGAGCAACCATACATTTGAATTATCTTTTTATTTTATTTTTTTATTAATTTATAATCAGTTATTCGTATAATCATTTAGAATCGTTAGCCATTTAATGTAATTTATTGTTTGATTTTTTTTTCTTTTTTTTAATTATGTTTTTATATATTTTTTATTTCTTATTTTCCTTGTTTATGTATTTTCATTGCTTAATCTGATGATTGTGAGGTTTAATTAACTGTTTTGTCTGAATGAATAAGAGATAAGAGGGAATGTTAATGGAAACTCAAGGTTTATGGGATGTTGTTGTGTTTGGTAAAACACTACTTGTTGGATTTGTGCTGGTCAGATGAAGTCTGAGCACTGAAACATATGCAACTAAGATTTTTCAATAAACTTTTTTATCATCATCACTTCGTCTCCTGCTTCTGCTCTTCTCTGGCTTTGCTCAGTCATCTTCTAGGCTCATAGAAGACTATTAATACAGTTTTGGTACCAGACATTACTTGATGCTAATGGGTTTTAAAACTCTAGTCTACCACATCCAGTTCTCAAAGTCTTGTGAACAATGTTATGTATGTGTTTTATGGCCTTATTTTAATGACTTAAAAATGTAAATTTTTTACTAACAAAGCATAAATGTTTTCTCAAAAACACAAACACGTAGGCTATTTTCATGCTGCTCGTGTATTATTGTAGCCCAGTTTGTGCTGATTACAGTGTAATCAGACTTTAGTCATTAATATGTTTTTAAGATACTGAAAAAACGCATAAATGTCAGGGCATGTCAAAACTACTCCAGGGCCCCAAAACACCCTCAGACCTCAGAGGATTAAAGCTTTGTGTGTACCACAAACAGTCATTAAAGATTAAGAATAAACACCAACCTCCTTGTTCCTCCTGTTTTATTCTCCAGGGTTCTGTTTCCTCCTGTTTTATTCTCCGGGGCTCTAGTTCCTCGTGTTTTATTCTCCGGGGTTCTGGTTCCTCGTGT